GAACCTCTGTGTGTGTGCGCGCTCGCGTGCGTATGTGTGTGTGTGTGTGTGTGTGTGTGTGTGTGTGTGCGTGTGTGTGTGTGGCCGCGACCATGAGACTCTGTGCTGCTGGCTCCTCAATCAAGTGTCAAACAGACTTGACGTGCCCAACATGACGGGGAGGGGTCGGTAGCTGTTCCTACGCACGGACTTTGGTACATTGCAAGGTAGGACACTAGAACAGGGTACGCATAATTCGACGAAGCGTGGAACAATGGCGCCCAAAAACTACATCCCCCAAATTAGAAGGCCTCAGATGAGATAAGGGTCTCTTTTCCCAAGAATTGTTATCGAGGGTTCCGAGTGGCCAAACTCGGCCATCCCATCCGGTGGTGCCCCGGAGATAACCGCACCGCCACAGCGATATTTCAAAACGCACACAGAATCCCTCTGGGTGGAGCCTCGCAAAATTATTTTGGGAAACAAAGAAGCGTGTTTTCGTCATTTTCATGATGTGGCGCACAAGAGGACTACGTGTAGGACCCCACTGCTCAGGCTTGGTGGTGCTTGGCGGCGGGAAAATATCCGCCAGCCCGAAATCGTGGCCGACGGGAATGGGCAAGCAAAAAGGGACTGCCACCAGCACAGCAAATTTTCGGCACTCCCCGAGGTTTCCGTTACCCAATCAGGGAGACTTGCCTTTTCGGGCAACTTTGCCTCCACTATTTCAGCACACCAACCAATCCCCGTGCCTCCTTTCCGCACGGGATGGCCGGTACGTTTGTAGGGGCAGCGAGCGTACCAGCCATCCTGTGCGGAAAGAGGCACGGGGATTGGTCGGTGTTGCGAAAATCGGGAGGTAGGCAGAGTGGAAACAAAAGTGCTTGCTTTTGCCGATAGCAGTGGAGTGACTGTCTCAGAAAATCTCTAAGTTCCAAAGGCTTGGCACCAGCCAGTGGGGTCCAAGCCTACTAATACTTTCCCTGAGCTGGTGGAACCTGCCCGGTATCCCTGTTTGGTTTTTTTGGATCTCTTTGGTCGAGGCAAAATTAGAATGAAAATTTGCCAAAGTTGGGGTACTCAAACTTTTGTTCAGTGACACCCCGCTTGGTATACCCCTTGCATCTGGTAGGGCTGGGTAGGCTGACCCTTTCCGCAGCCTGGTTGTATATCGCTGCATTCTCTCTCTCTCTCTCTCTCTCTCTCTCTCTCTCTCTCTCTCTCTCTCTCTCTCTCTCTCTCTCTCTCTCTCTCTCTCTCTCTCTCTCTCTCTCTCTCTC